CTCAGGCGTGCTTTGCTTTGACGAGTTCCAGTGTACGGATGTAGCCGATGCTATGATACTGCGACAGTAAGTGTTCGATTCCCGGATGGGGCCATTCAATAACCCAGCTGATGATTTGCCAACCAGGCTTCTTGAGCACCTCATGTCCCACGGCGTTGTTCTCGTCACCACATCCAACCGCCATCCAGACGACCTATACAAAAACGGCATTCAGCGCGAATCCTTCATCCCATGCATCAACCTGCTCAAGGCCGACCTACACGTCATCAACCTCAATTCCCCAACAGATTACCGCAAAATCCCTCGGCCCCCAGCTGCCGTCTATTACCATCCGCTGGGCGAGGCCGCACAGCAGCACGCGCAGAAGTGGTTCGAGTTCCTGGGTGACCCTATCGATGACCCCCCGCATGCAGACTCGCAAGTTGTCTGGGGCCGCGAAATCAATGTTCCCTGTGCTAGCGGCAAGGCTGCGAAATTCACCTTCCAGGAGCTTATCGGCGCGGCCACGGGTGCAGCCGACTACCTCGAGCTCGTCCGGCATTACAATGCATTCATTGTCACAGACGTTCCAAGAATGAACTATACCCAACGTGATCTGGCGAGGCGTTTTATTACCTTTATTGATGCGGTATATGAGAGCCGGGTGAGTAACGAGCAACGTTCCTGTTTACCTTTTTACCGTGCAGTCAACTAACAACCCCCTTCAACAGGCCAAATTAGTTCTCACGACCGAAGTACCCTTAGCAGACCTTTTCATGTCCGAACCTGATACGAAGAAAGGCTCTAAAGGTGACGGTGGCGACCACTCAGATCTCTCCGATGCAATGCGCAACCTAATGGACGACCTTGGTATGTCTGTGCAAACGCTGAAGAGCACGTCTATTTTCAGTGGTGACGAGGAGCGGTTTGCGTTTGCGCGTGCGCTTTCCCGTCTTTCTGAGATGGGAAGTAAGGAGTGGGTGGAGCGCGGATCGGCGCTTGAAAGGACTCCTGCGCAGAATAAGGAGGATCGGGACGCTTGGCAAAAGACGAGGAGTCATTGGAGTGAGGATAATATGTAGATTATGCTTGTCCTCTTGCCTTTGTCCTCTTGCCTTTGTCCTCTTGCCTTTGGTTCTTGCCTTTTGTTTTGTTCACACGCTACACTGTGCTGTAGAGATACCTGTGCACATAGATCGAGTTTGGTGTAAATAGCATAACTCTTCTTTCAATTATGAATTATCCCTATGGATTGAATTTATTCTGCTCCTCAACTTGAACCTACATATATTCGGGACATAAATCTCCTTATTTCGACTGTCAGCTCAATCCCTCATATATTGGAATTTGGAGATGCTCGGACATGTTTTCCACCCTGATATCAGGTGACGTCACGTCGCATCCGTGGACAAGTTCTGTATGATATTTCAAGATCCCTAATAAATTCGAAGCCCGAATCCAGGCATAAATTCACGTCATCGGCCTGCAATCAGCATGACCCCACCATCCCAGTGCCAATACCTTGTATTGCCTATGGAACCCCCATGATCGACCACCCAGGCAACACAGGCAAAGGTTACCGAACTATGGCTCCACCTCCATGGGATTGCAGGAAACTGCCCCGCGAATGAAATGGGAGCAATTCGCAATGTTTCTTGTCTATTCTGCTCCATTACAGGTTTTCCTGTCGGCATTGGTTGGTAAAGTGCCCGGGCGTTAGGTTAGGGTATGGGTGGTAGGTCATACTTTGGTCATTCTTGCAAAGCGGTTATTCCATCCTGGTTAAACTTTGGCTTGGGCAATCGACTTTCCGCTTTGTAATTATACGACTTCATTTCGTTGGTAGATGGACTTCGGGATATGCAACGGGGAATTACATCATTGACGTCGCACCTAGGGAATTGCACGATGACCAGCTTGATTTTGATATATAAAGCGGAATATTCAGCCTAACCTTTGCTTCGTTTACTGTTTCCTCCCTTTCTCTGGTATCATTGATATCAACCACACATATTATGGCAGCAAAGTCACACTCCAAGACTGCAGACGGCAAATTTGCCGATCTACAAAAGGACACCATCGAAGTCAACGACAAGCAGCACATGACAACTGACAATGGCGTCAAAATCTCCAACCCAGACCAATGGCTCCGTATCGTAGACGAAAAGAATCTTGGGCCCTCACTCCTGGAAGATCAAATCGCCCGCGAGAAGGTATCTACAACTCACATTCATCCACACATATACCAATATATATCTAAGCAAACTAACCAACAAACAATAGATAACGCGCTTCGACCACGAACGCATTCCAGAGAGAGTAGTACATGCGCGCGGAAGCGGCGCCTTCGGCACGTTCAAGCTATTCGAGAGCGCCGAGGACGTAACAACTGCGGGAATACTGACTGATACAAAGCGGGAGACGCCGCTGTTCGTGCGGTTCTCGACTGTGCAGGGTAGCAGGGGCAGTGCGGATACGGTGCGCGATGTGCGCGGGTTCGCTGTCAAGATGTATACCGCGGAGGGAAACTGGGATATCGTCGGGAATAACATTCCTGTTTTCTTTATTCAGGACTCGATCAAGTTCCCTGATGTTATTCATTCTGTTAAGCCTGAGCCGCATAATGAGGTGCCGCAGGGTCAGAGTGCGCATAATAATTTCTGGGATTTCCAGTATCTGCATTCGGAGGCTACGCATATGAACCAGTGGGTTAGTATTTCTCCCTATTTGGGTTGTGGGTCGATACCTGATTGCTGATGCGGTTCGTGATAGATTATGTCCGATAGAGCTATTCCGCGGTCTCTCCGCATGATGCAGGGATTCGGCGTGAATACCTATTCCTTGATTAACAAGGCCGGCAAGCGTCATTTCGTCAAGTTCCACTTCACTCCAGAGCTGGGCGTGCACTCTCTCGTCTGGGATGAGGCGTTGAAGATCGGCGGCCAGGATCCCGACTTCCACCGGAAAGACTTAATGGAGGCGATCGAGGCAGGACACTTCCCACGCTGGAAGTTCGGCCTGCAACTCATCCCCGAAGAGAAGGCCGACAGCTTCGAGTTCGACCCTCTCGACGCCACGAAGGTCTGGCCCGAAGAGCTCGTGCCTATCCGCTACATCGGCGAGATGGAAGTTAACCGTAACATCGACGAGTTCTTCCCTCAGACCGAGCAGGTCGCATTCTGCACGAGTCACATTGTGCCAGGCATCGACTTCTCCGACGATCCTCTGCTTCAAGGCCGCAACTTCTCATACTTCGACACGCAGATTTCGCGGCTCGGACCGAATTGGGAGGAGCTGCCTATCAACCGGCCAGTATGTCCATATATGAACCTGGTCAACCGCGACGGCCAGGGCAGACATCGCATCACTAAGAGCAAGGTGAACTACTGGCCGAACCGGTTCTCTGCGAATCCACCCGCGACCGCAGAGCAGGGCGGCTTCGTCAGCTACCCGGCAAAACCGCAGGGCGCAAAGAAGCGCGCGCTGTCAGAGAAGTTCAAGGAGCACTTCAACCAGCCGCAGGTGTTCTACAACTCGCTCTCACCAATTGAGAAGATGCATGTGGCCAAGGCATTCTCATTCGAGCTAGACCACTGCGACGACCCCGTCGTCTACAAGCGCATGTCAGAACGTCTAACAGCCATCGATCTAGACCTAGCCAAGACCGTCGCGAAGAATGTCGGTGGCGACGCACCCGTCAAACCCTCCAAGGAAAACAGGGGTATCAAAGCCAAGGGTCTGAGCCAGCTTGAATTCATGCCGGAGAAACCCATCATTGCGACGCGTCGCATCGCCATCCTGATTGCTGACGGCTTCGACTTCAACCAGTATACCACAATGAAGGAAGTGCTCAAGGAGCGCGGCGCGTTTGTTATCACAGTCGGTACGCAGCGCCAGGGTGTGACTGCCGAGTCTGGGCAGAAGGTTATTCCTGACCACTTCTATTCTGGAATGCGGTCGACGCTGTTCGACGCGGTCTACGTGCCTGGCGGAAAGCATATCCAGGCGCTGTCGAAGAATGGCGTATTCAAGCACTGGATTTCCGAGTCTTTCGCTCATCTTAAGGCTATTGCTGGCGCTAACGAGGCTGTGCCGTTTATTGAGCAGCAGATCGGGCTTTCTGAGGTCGAGGTTGCGAAGAGTGGTTCTCCGCTGAAGGAGTCGTATGGTGTTGTTACGGGCCATGGAGATGCCGTTTCGTTGTTGAAGGTTGGCACGGTCGCGCCCGATTCGAAGGGTCTAGCTGAGCAGTTTATTTGGCATGTTTCTCAACACCGCAACTGGGCGCGTGAGCTGGATGGACTTTCTGATCAGATTGCTGCTTAAGTCGGTGTTGCATGTGAAACGAATTGGATATGTGACCATCAAAATTGTATGAACTTTTTTTGGTTTAATGAGAGTTCAAGTCATTTCATATTTCTTAAATTTAATCAAATTTGGTAAAAGTCTCACGAATTCAAGGCCGTATCGGTGGATCTCACATTCAGATGCTATGGGTATGATACACTGCGTATGTAGGTGGCCAGCCTACATTCTTCATCGGCTGATCTACAATACACAAACCGAATCACAAGCTCATGTAGGGCTGGAGGAAATATGTTTCTGCAAGCTTCCATGCTCTCAAGGTCCTCTGCCAGAATCTTTTAGGCCAATGTAGCGCTAGCACTTGGTGCCTGTGCCTGCGCCTGTGCCGAACCCTAACTCTTCCCATATAACATACCCCAACCGCCATTAGCAATGATATACCACCATTATAGAGACACCGAACAATTGAAACTAGATAAACCCAAAACCCTCCGTCATACTCAGCCTCCCGCATACCACATCCCCATATCTCATAGGGGTCAGGGCTACTGGTCACATTTCAAGACGGAAGTTACACGGCAGGAATATCGGACCAGCCGCTTTCTGAACCAAGAGACTCTGGAAGGCAGAAGTATTCATGATGTCCTTTCGTAAATAACAAGCTATGTTTCTGGATTCTTGTTCCATTATATTTTTGATATTGGATCTCCGCAGTCATGGTTCTTCATCTATCACGCTCGACACGGCTAAGCGTTGTGATTGGCATATCGACATGTTTCTTTCTAGCTGAGATTTCGCGTCGGTTGCCCTTTCTTGGTTTCTGTGGTAGTGGTCTTGGTATGATATCGATGTGCTGATACCGGGCTAGTGGGCTTCTATACCCACTCTATTGCTCTGATTGCAGATGCTTTCCACTATGTAAGCGTTTTTGGGTGTGGAGTTGGATATTGTGTTGGCTAACATATATTGCAGCTGAATGACTTAGTTGGGTTTATTATTGCTCTTGTTGCATTGAAGGTACAGTCTGGTTTGGCCGTCGGTGTGGTGGTCATGCTGATGTGAAATATAGAAATCCGAGCGCAGTGACTCGCCTAAGGAGCTTACTTTTGGTTGGCAGCGGGCGCAACTGCTCGGTGCCTTTTTCAATGGTGTTCTTCTGCTTGGACTGGGTATTAGTATATTTTTACAGTCCATTGAGCGATTTATTGCTCTACAACGTGGGTGCAATCGCCCAGACTGGATGTTGATCTCGTTTGATTATGACTGACGGTGCGTCTAGATATCCACGACCCCAAGCTGATGTTCATCATTGGGTGTATCGGATTGGGCCTGAATATTATTAGCGTAGTCTTCCTTCACGGTAGGGTTCGTGGGGTCATTGTTAGTACCATGCTAACAGTACCCAGAACATGGACATGATCATGGACATGAACACAGTCATGACCATAGTCTATCACCCACAATTGAGACACCGGTTCTTCACCTCGACGAGGAATACCTTGATTCCAGCACCAAGGTAAGCTGCAACAAATTGAGCGGTCCAATTAATGGAGACCGACTGACACAGCTTAGCATGACGATCACAAGCATTTTCATTTCGAAAAACATCGCTGTGCAGACTCAGGCGGCCACGGCCAAAGCCATGGTCATGGCGGCCACGACCACGGTGATTTGGGCATGATGGGAGTGATGATCCACGTTATCGGCGATGCAATCAATAACTTGGGTGTCATGGCGGCCGGTCTAGTCATCTGGCTCGCTGCACCCTATGCCGGCCGATACTATGCGGATCCCGGTGTGAGCATGTTCATTGCCATCCTCATTATTCTGTCGTCCTTCCCTCTGAGTAAGTGTGGTACAAGCATGAATGGTTGAAAAGGAATAGCGAAGCTGACACTCTCCAGTGCGCCGGGCTGGGATGATCCTGCTAGAGAGCGTGCCCACAGGGGTTGACATGTGCGATGTCAAGCACGACCTAGAAAAGGTATTTCCGCCTTTCATCTTCTATTTCTTTCATTCCTAACAATCACTAGATCAAGGGCATCAATTCAATCCACGAACTCCACATCTGGCGCCTCAACCAACAAAAAACCCTCGCCTCAGTGCACGTCGTGGTGTCTGAGGACTCGGTCGAGGACTTCATGAAGACAGCGCGCGTGATCAACGAGTGTTTCCACGCCTATGGAATCCACTCCATTACACTGCAGCCCGAACTGTCGGATGCAGTTGATTCGCAAGAAGATGGGGTTTCCCAGGAGTCTTTCCGGTGCCAGGTCATTTGCGGGACTCTCTGCGAACGGTTGACTTGTTGTGGATAGACCGAGATCTATTGCCATGATGTCAAGATGGTCAAGTTTTGGATATCAACCAGCCAAGTGGCCGAGCAGTAACTCGGCCATCGCATTCTTCCTTGGTCTAGTGGTGATGATTTCCGCTTGTCATTAAAACCGATAAGCGCGGGAGACCGGGGTTCGATTCCCCGAGGGAGAGGTTTCTTTTTATTTTTCTCTTTTTTATTTTTACTTTATTTAATTGAATAATATCTATTGGTACTTTTAGGAAGAAGTAGTAGAGAGGAGTTTGACAGTCTAGGATTGAGCATGAAAGAGCAAGGGAGGATCTTGTGGCAATTCCTATATACTCCAGGTATCGCTATTTTAGAAAGAAGGACAGCACACGCTCAATGGTCTCTGAATTATCTTCCTGGACATTATAAGCAAGCAAGATGCATTAGCCTAGGTTTCTCCCAATTCTACATCGAAATCGTCACAAATTGCGCTGTTGAAGTAGCCTGACTGGGTGTACACTATAGCCTGTTGAGCTTTGAAAGTAATTCCTTGACAAATGATTTACTAGTTATCCAAAGGGGTGTCCCATTAACAATCCCCTATATAAAAGTGTACGATTGTACCTTATCAACATTGAGCAACAGCCAGTATGAACCATTAACCAATAAGAGCTGCATAGTTCTCCACTCTGCAAATAGGACGGCCGTCTACTCCAATGGATAGCCAATTCCGATTCCGAGATAGCCAGGTACTTTGTAGATCACACAGATAAGGTGCGGGGAATACGTAGGACGAAGGACTGCCTTGTGTCTCTCTCCCCTCTTTCTTATATATCTCAGTTTACCCTCCGAAACCAGCCATATTCCATCTCAAATCACTCATCAATATGACTCTTAATTGGGAGATCCAAGCCCAAAGAGGCAGAGATATCTTGAATAATTCTATTCCGAAACAATGGCTTCTCCCCGTCGACAGGCTGCCGCCAGCCTCACAGAAGAGTGTGATTGACTTCCCCCGACAAAGCGGGTTGTTGAATGAGCGCGAGCTCGTTATCACTGATATGTCGGCCACGGCACTGGTGACCGAAATGGGTAATGGAACAATGAGCGCGGAAGAGGTGGTGACTGCGTTCTTGAAGAGGGCCGTGTTGGGCCATCAACTGGTGAGATTGGGAGATGTGGATTGTGTAATTCCAATGTTGACATGCTTGTCAGCTCAATTTCGCAACAGAGTTCATGGCAGACGAGGCAATCGCTCGCGCCAAAGAGCATGATGAGTACTACAGACGTACAGGAGAACTGGTCGGGCCCCTGGTAAGCTCATATACATACTTGTTCAAATTTATCACAGCGAGATTTTAATGAAACAACCACAGCACGGTATACCAATCAGCGTGAAAGAACACATAGCAATGAAAAACCGAACATGCAACACGGGATACGTAGCTTGGTGAGTATAAATCCACCACGACAGCCCGCATTGCTGACAAGCAAAACAGGGTCGATAAAGTCACCACGGAAGATGCTCTTCTCCTCCAACTTCTGTCTAAAGCCGGCGCGATTTTCCACGTTCGGACTAACGAACCCCAGTCATTGATGGTATGTCCACAACTTCCACATTAGCGGTGTATCCCATAACCAACGCCATCTAGCATCTATGCTGCAGCAACAATATCACCGGCACGACATTGAACCCACTTAATCTCACTCTCAGTCCAGGCGGGTCCTCCGGAGGCGAAGGTGCCTCAATGGCCTTCCGGTGCGCACCACTTGGGATTGGCACTGATATCGGCGGATCAATTCGCTGCCCCGCAGCGTTTTGCGGTGCGTACGGCTTCCGTCCTTCCTCACTGCGGAACCCTGTAACAGGGCTCAAAGTCGCTGCTTCGGGCCAGGAGACAATCCGCGGCGTGGTGGGTCCACTGGCTAGTTGTTCAATTGAGGATCTAGAGCTATTCCAGAGAGCTGCATTGGAGCAGGAGCCTTGGAATATTGAGACATCCCTGATGCCTGTGGCGTGGAAGACGGTTCTTCCGACACGGGATATGACTGTGGCTATCATGTGGGATGATGGGTATGTCGTGATTCAAATAAATGTCTGCTGTCAGTGTGCTAATCCATTTCCCAGCTGCGTCCGCCCCCATCCACCTATTACTCGCGCTCTGAGACACGCCAAGGAGAAGCTGGTAGCGGCTGGTGTGAATGTCGTAGACTGGGAACCGTATAAGCACCAGCATGGCTGGGAAGTTATTGTAAGTGTCGGATATTCTCAGGGCATGCACGTTATAACGCTAACATAGCCCAGCGCGCTTTATACTACCCTGAAGCTGGCAGCAAGCAACGCGAGGTTCTTGCCGAATCAGGTGAGCCGGCACGCCCACTAACTGATTGGGCTCTCTCCTATAGCCGAAGCATGCCACTTTCGCACCCTGAGGCATGGGCCCTGCAAGAGCAGCGCGATATCTACAGAGACGAGTATCATGCTCTCCTCAATCGTCGCGGTGTTGACTTTATTCTGTCCCCGACATATCCCGCTGCTGCGGCAGTGATGGGCGAGTCGCAGTATTGGAATTATACTGCGATTTGGAACTTAGTTGACCTACCTTCCGTAGTATTCCCATCTGGAATCTTTGTGGATCCTAAGGTAGACATGTTGACGGAGCAAGACAAAGAGTACGTTCACAGGGATGAGGTTGATGAGAGAGAGTGGCGTAAGTACCAGGGTCCGGAAAGATATGAGGGGGCGTCGGTGGGACTGCAGCTTTCTGGGAAGCGGTTTAAGGACGAGGAGACCTTAGCGGCGGCCAAGGTTATTGAGGGGATTGTGAGAGACAAGGAATACTTGATGACTTGAAGACTTGGAGGGCTTGGGAATGGAGATAAATTGATTCGATGAATTTTACTTACAACACATTTACACCTCAGCTATGTCTCTTCGTAGCAAATACCATAGCAAGCGGCGTAGCAGTCTTCACTTTCTTCCCCTCAAAAGCCCTCTCCATCTCATCCCACAGTGGATTAATGTCCACCTCTGATACACTTGGTGTCGTCCAGGTAGATGAATAACCTCTAAACCAGTCACAGTCCTGCTCATCCATCCAATCCACATCATTCTCCTCCCAAACAATCTCCTCTCCATCCCTAACTTGACTCTCACCAACTCGATCATTAATCCTAAAAGCCTCAATACTCCCCCGAGCATTAACATATAACCTCCTCACGCCCTCCCAGTCGTCCACGGGGAATCCCAGAGCCTCAGTACCAGAATTCAAAATTCTTAGTGCATGATCAAGCATCGGATCATGAGCCTCACTCGCATAAAACGAACAAACAGCCCCCCAGGCCCTCTGAGCCCTCTCATTTCCGACAATGCGCGGATAATTATAATGCGTAATGACAAGCGTCCCACCCGGGCGTAACTCCCGCGCAAATTCCGCAATCGCGATCTCCGGTCTCGTCCAGTGGATACACTCACACGCCATGATCAGGTCGACCGAGCCAGACTCCACAGAGCTCCTTTCGGCACTTTCCTTCAGGAACCGGAAGCTAGATTCGGGAAGGCGGGATTCCTCGACTAGGACTCTGCGAGCGAGAGCAGTGTACCCGTCGTTCGGGTCGGAGACGATCACTTTTTTGAAGCGCGGGGCGAGACTTGATGAGACGATCCCGCAGCCGGCACCGATATCCTGAGCGAGGGACCAGGTGAAGTGGGGTTTTTGAGAGTGGTAGGTGAAGACCTTTTCGAAGAAGGAGGGCGGGTAGATTGGACGAAAAGTAAGGTAGTCGGACCAGTTTACGCCTTGGTTGGCGTTGAAGCCGTATTCTATGTTGGGTGTGGTTTCGGATGACATTGGTGATGTGGGTATTTGGGAAATGGTTGAATGATTAGAGGTGACAATGATATATTCAGCTAATGCTCTAGGGGTAATAGGGTGTATTTATATGTTGTTTTCCTGTTTTCTGCTTTTTTTTGCGAACAGATATCATTTTGTTATTTGTCATTCCCGGAACAGAAGTATAGGAATGAGAAAGTGTAAAGGATCGGGATTAATGAACCAGACCGTGTCTATTCGTTGAAATTTTGGGAATTTGAACAATCTTCCAATCAAAGAGGTTCAGACAGAGATCTTCGATCAGATCTCTAGAATATCTCTAGATCTCGGAGAACATCGGTCTAGTCGATCTCGGATCTCTTCTCACATATAGATCACATAATTGTTGGGCATACTCCATATGACCTTTCTCCTTGGTATCCATACTATTCCGTGCTCGTACATTGCATACTGCAGCTATGCTTGAGTTTTTCTCCAACTCCCTCGAGCTCTGCTGAACGGTGGGGCTGGTGGAGTCGCGGTGATCTTCAAATAGCGCCTCAACAAGCTCCTATACAAAAGAATGGGCTTTTTGTGAACTAAGAGTAGTTCTTTTTCTTTTTTCTTCTTCTGTCTATAGATAGGTGGGGTTAACTGCAACCATCCAAATACGGACATCTCAATCCGACTCAGCTCTCAAATCCTGCAGCGACCTAATCTGGCTACCATCTTCCCCAAAATTCCCAACATCCAGCCATTTCTCCATGGCAGACTTCAGGGAAGCATCCCACTCATCCCTCAAAATAGAAAACCAAGCCGTATCCCTATTTCTCCCCTTGACAATCATATGTTGTCGAAAGACTCCTTCAAACGAAAACCCCAAGCGTGAAGCCGCACGCCGCGAAGGCTCATTTAGTGAATTACATTTCCACTCCAACCTCCTATACCCAAGATCATGGAAAGCATGCTGAGCGAGGAGATAGATCGCCTCTGTCGCGCCGGTTGTGCGCTGGAGTGCAGCCGAGTACATTACATTCCCGATTTCAATGCCCAGGTGACCAGGAGTCATGCGCATCAGAGAGAGATAGCCAATGGGTTTTCCGAAAGTGGGGAAAGAATTGCGCCTGTCGATGATTGTGTAGAACAATGGGTCTGTCGAAGTGGATTTCGATGCGATGCTGGTTTTGAAGGTTTCAGCATCCGAGTACGGCCCGTCGAACATATAGTCCCATAAGTCTGCTCTGGATGGTTCGAGTCCACCGATGAGGGCAAAGAGGTCATCTGCGTGCTTTGGCGAGAGTTTCTCGAGGAGAATTGTTCGGCCTGGAATTGTTTGGCTCGTTGGTAGTAGAGCTTGGGTAAAGGGAACTATTGGACCTTTGGGGCGTAGTGCTGCCATTTTTGAAATTGATTTGTTCGAGCTATTGATGATTGAAATTGAGAGCGCGGCGATATTATATGAGTGCTACCAGCTAATACCTAGCGGAGTTGGCCGTGTATATACTGTTTATTGGGCTGATCTATGTATGACTCACGCCAGTGTGATTTGTTGTGAATGCCGAGAGTCCGAACGTGATAGGTTGATTCTCCGAACTGGAGCAAAAGTACAGATTGACTCAATAGTGAGGACAATTTCGCAAGAAGTTCGGAAGATTAGCAACTAATTAATTACATTGATGTGGACTATAGACAGCTGCTTCTCCTTACCTTTAAAATAAACCAGTTTTGCCCCTCTTTTTGTACAGCAAATACCATAAAAAGATCAGCTGAAATGCGCCAAAACACATGACTATCCCACTAAACAATTGAATACCCAAGTAGTTCAAATCCGCACTACCATCGGCGCCAATTGAAGCGAGCGCACCTGCTATTGGTGGTCCCACAAGACTCGCAAAGCTACTCAAGCTTTGCGCCATTCCAAGCCAAGTTCCAAGACTCTTGGGGTCGGGACAGACCTGAGTGAAAACGCTCGGCGGCAGAGGAATCAAAGCCCCGGAGATACCACCTGTGATTTGGGTCAAAATAGAACACCGATGACTTAGAGAAGGAGCTTCACTTACCATAGAAGGCAGCAAAAAGAATAAACCGGGCAAGACTGTCTGCACTGATCCAACAAATACACAGAACGCCTGAGAGTATACCGCAAATGATCCAAGCAATCATCGACCCATAGTAATGAGCGAACAAAGTCAAGACAACACGGCCAATAACCGAAGAAGCCTGGGAAATCATCAAGATATTAGAGGCCATTGAGCGCGATGTACCTAGTTTTGTCTCCGCGTAAGTCGGAATGTAATAGAAAGGCGTGATATAACCAAGGTAAAGAAAAAAGTTCCCGATAGCAAAGCTCCAAAAAGGCAAATCCTTCAAAGCGCGCAAATCAATCAAGCTCCTGCGCTGGGTATTTTTAACCTTCACTGCATGTCTCTCCGGCCACAAAAGCATAATAGCAGCCGCGATGAACAGCGCCAGCATCAAGAACGCCACAAGGCGGACGGTCCAGGCGAACCCAACCTTTGATATAAGCTGGTTGAACATCGTCGTATAGATAATGCCCCCGACAGGCGCACCGCTACTCGAAATACCTAGCGCAACAGCCCTTCTTGTTGTGAAAGAACGGCTGACCAATGCAATAGCAGGGACATAAAGCAGTCCGAATCCGAGGCCCATGCAGACCCCCTGGCTTAGGAATATGGCGTAGTAGTCATGTGCAAGACTAAGCATCATTATGCCGACTACACCTAGGGTACTGCCGACGAGAATCATGCTCTGGTTGTAGCCAAGGTCGAAAAGTGGGCCGGATAGTAGACCGCCGACGATTAGGAGCCAGGATTGAATCGTTCCAATCCAGGCGATGTCAGATGATGTCGATGATGGGATATAGGTGAGTGCATAGTAGCTTTGGAATGTCCCAAATGCGAGGTTGAGACCCCTGGAAAGCAGTTAGTTTTGATATCCAATTGGAAGTCGAAAGAAAGTTGACATACCAGACATTGAAGAATATAAAGAAAGCACCGAGAACTTGGAGACAGCTGTACACTTTACTTTTTACAGCAAAGGTAGAGTGTATTTCAGATGACTCTTCATCTTCCGTGATATGTGCCAGATCTGTGACCTCGGGCTGCGTCTTGCCTTTTTCCGATAACATGTTTAACAGCCTCGAATAAGTTCAATTCTAAATTAAAACGGTAGCCAGGATTCGAAGGAAATAACAAAAGCTAAGACCCCTCAAATGTATTGACCAGTCAATATTATAGCCCTGTACCGTATGCAACACTGCCGTGTTTACCGGTGATGCGGGGTGAGTGTCTTTGGGGTAACAACCTATCACGTATTTCGAAGCACTATTTGGAGTTAATCCCATGTCCGATTTGTAATTTCTACGCTACTAATTAGTTAGTATCGATATGAAAATATCACGCTTACCAAGATTGAGTTGCGCCATTGGGGTGAAATTGACTAGCGAAAGGTGTGATAGTACCTCGGCTAAAATCAACCAGTGCTTTGTAGTATGAGCAATGGACAAGTCATACAGTAGATTCGCTAGAGTTATATTTGAGGAAGGGCTTTAGTGTAGACATTGAATACTACATATATTCAGTACAGTATAACATGCAATGAAGACTAATAACCTGCTGGGAATAGCAAAGTGGACAACGGAACCATTTCCGAAGAATCAGACCTATCGATAGTTGATATTGATTTTCACGTTTGAGTTATTTTTCCTTCAAAATATGATGGGGTATTAAATGGAGTCCAGTAATTTTGATCATCATCCAAAGCATTAATTCCAAGCTCCAAGAGAGAGCGCATAAGTACATCCATCAATACACATGTCCATGTATCTGGAAATAGAGAGCAAGCATAAAAACATAAAAACATGAAAGCAGAAAATAGCACTATCGTGACGATATTTCCATCATTAGAGGGAAAAAGATTGAACACCTGATATCAGAAGCCCAAATCAGAAGAACTCCACGAGACCCGGGAAAGCCAAGCCCAAGGGCAATCCAAATAGAAAAGAAATCGCAAACAAAACAAAAGGAACAGCATGAAGAAATGATCATAATCATCTACTTCCGCCAGAACATAGCTTTTCCAACGGTCCTGCCAGCAGCCCAGCGAGCCTCGGCTAGCTTATCCTTAAAGGACACACCGCCGCCGTAGCGCACAGGGTGGGAGGAGGCCGCTCCAGACTCAGAAGTAGCAGTCGCACTCGAACCGCCGAAAGAACTAGGAGCGAAGTTCGTCATATTACCCGCATCGAACTTCGTCTTTCCTTCAACGATTTTCTGAACGACGTTCAAGATAGCATAAGCAGTAGAGCCAACAGCACGAATAGCCGCGAGGACAGCGACAGACCACAAGATGATAGCGAGATAGATGTTTGTGCCGCCGGAGTCAACACCGTAGATTTCGGACACAGCCATGGCGAGGATTACGTTTGCGACCATCCAGATGGAGACCATGTAAGTACGGACAGCACGATAGTAGTCCTCCTGCAACTGGGTATCCGATGGCGGGGGCTCGGGGACCTCGAGGCGATCGCGGAGGTTGCGGAGGGCCGCGTCGTAGCCGGAGTCAATATCGAGTTGTTCGGAGGGCATTTCGATGACGACGGTTGAGCCGTTGATGGTCTTTGCTGCACCGAGATCGGTGTTGATTACGTTGTCACCTTTGGTTCCCCAAGTGACGTCGTGGGTGTTGCAGAAGGCGTAGACTTGGAGAATGCAGATGTAGCTGGGCATGAGCAAGAAGTATTGGACCGAAGAGGTGAACATGTGCCACGGGTCCAGGTAGAGGAATGAGCTGTAGAAGTAGAGACCGACAGTTGACAACATGGAAATCACAATGTTCATCATTAGGCTATCGCCAACTTCTAGGTCATCGTTTCCAACCCCAGCACGTGCGAGTAACTCTTTGACCACCAAGTAGAGGGCGCAGAAGACCGTGTAGAACATGATAATGGCGTACACAATGATACCAGAGAGATAGAGATTCTTGGCACTGGAAAGAGAATGTCAGTCAAGTTCCAATATATGACGAAGCATTTTGGACTCACCCTTGCGGTCGATTACCCAGCGAGATAATAAACTGCAAACACATAACCAGGACACAGGCATAGCGCAGAACAATGAAGATATATTTGCCCATGTTGTGACCAAATGGGTCAAGTTTCTCATCGGTCAAAGAGCCAGCAATGAAGTAGAAAGCGAGGTAGAAATTGGCCTGTGGAAAGTCAGTGGACGCCCCCAAAGAAAACAGAGCGCAAAACTCACAAGACCAAAGTAAGTAAACAGCAGATTAAGGAATTGATAAAAGAACTCGATGTGAAGCAGGACCTTCCGGGTAAAAGTATGATCGGTCTTCCAGATCTGTTTGGCATTGAAAATCGAGTAAACAGCCGCGAAGAACGCACCGTTCAGCCATCTTCGACGCTGGGAGATGAACTCAGGAACCGAGTCCGGCACATCGGTTTCTCCAACGGCGTTCTTAACAAACTTCAATACCCATCTCTCTTCCCGTTTGGCGACCAACTCCCAGCAAAGAATACGATCTTCGGCGAGGTACATGTTGGCAGTGAAAACGTCTGCATCTTGACCGTGGAGTGTTTCACCCTTGAAATATTGGTTCAGGGGGCCATGTCCGTCTGCGTCGTTTTGCAGCGCAAAGAATCGATATGCACTGAGCGCACCGGGCAACACAGTGATGTAACCGAAGACTGATTCCAGCGGCTTGTCGAGAATATTGGACATTTTGTATTCGAAGTTCTGACTTGCCACCAGAGGGTTGAGCAGACCGAGCATGTTCTTACCTTTAGCAGCCTTGATCTCCCCAGCAGCGCCGGCAACATTGGAGTCCTGATCAAACGCCTTCCACAAGTGGTAGAGCGCCATTGGCTCTGGTCGAGTTCCAACATCGAGCAAAATACAAATGTTGGGCTGAAGGGCACGACCAAAGGCATTGAAAAACCATCTGTGGGAGTTCAGCTTCTTCTTGTTGTGTTCCTTCAAACAGAAGATAACCTGACACGGAACAATTCCCTTCTCCGCACCCTTAAACTTGAGATCATCATCAAGCGAGACCTGCGTGGTGTACTCGTACACGTGTGCCTGAACTTCCTTTTGGTTGACAATATTCTTCGCAATACCCTCCTGGTAAACACCCAGGGCGGCCAATGCATTGAGTGTGCGCGGGTGGACCTTCTTACGTCCATCAGCCACAATGCAAACAACGATTTTCTTCCATCCATCGCGGCCCCAAGTACGCGACTTGGTGCGCGAGCAGAAGTGGCTGATATTCTGCATAACGCCATGCATAGTACGGGTGAAACCAATCTCGTCTTCGTTGTACATGGTAATACAAATAAACAGCTCTGTCTCGCGAGTCGTGGTGCCAATCTGCTGCCGAAGCTTATATCCACGTTCGCCGTAGTCGTCCGGATCGGTTGTAACAGCGGTATATCGCATGTGCGTGAACTCACGCTCATCGCGGCGAGGGAGGAAGCTGTGAAGAATTGTGGGAATTTTGCACTCCAAAATAAGCTCTCCATTGACCAACTGAACTTCTTTTTTGGCGACCTGCTTGGATCGGACACCACGACGGCCCTGCTTGTCGGGTGCTGGGCCATAGTGGAGGTTGGGATCCAAAACGTGCGATTCGTCGTCATATTCATCATCGAGATCGACTTTGGACATGCCATCTTTCTCGTCTCCCAACATTGTCGATTCGCTCATGAATGATCGGACACTGGCGCGTGAGGTGTGGTTAATTGTGCGGCCATCACCACCGAATGGATCTTCGCCATGGGCATCACCAATATCGATGCTCGTATCCATTGTTGATTTTGGTCCAGTGAACAACGGCGCAGGAGGCAATGGTCGACGGGGACTACCCCCATATCTTGAGCTGGGTGTCCCGGGCCTTGGACTACCGTTTAAATCGGCGCGCTCATATCCAACACTTGACACGGAGGGTGGTCGGATGTGGGATGGGCTCCATGGGCGAATTGGCGATCCTGTGCGTGGGGGAATAGATGGGTACACAGAAGTGTCTGCGAGGTTTGCTGTGGGAGGCGGGATACTGGGTACACTGGACAAGCTGGATGGTGGACGCGAAGGTGAAGCGACGCTAGGCACCTGGTAATAACTATCATAGCTTCGATCATGTCCGGTCCTATAATTGTGCGCCCTGGTGTTAGACCTTGGTCTTGGAAGACGTTCCATTTTGCCGCGAAGCTGGCACTAAGAGGCCCAATGTGGAGGTGGAGGGGGATGGAACAGTAAACAATGCACTATTATCAAGTGTACAATGTTTACAATGTTTACAGGGTGGGTGATTGACAAACAGCAAGGAAGGAAGGGGTTGGCTCGGTCCTTGTAGCAATGCCCATTGACGGGCAATTGCTCGAGGCTCCCAGCCTCTCCGTTCCGTCAATGAAGGAGTCGGATTTGGCAGTGCACGTGGCTCCGTCGCGAGGGAAACCACTGGAATGTGAAGACGGACAGGGTTGCATCAGAGACAATTGGGAAGTATAGGAAGTACATACGGAGTGTGATCATAATCCGGGTCATAATGGGAGGGCATATGACTGATACCTGAATCATCGGCACCGTCGCCGCTTGGCAACAAGCGCATCGTTCCTCCATTCAGACGTGAGGCATTGGTCGGAGAGTCAGGATCGGACAGATAGGAACTTGCGTCATGGTTGAGGTATGCGGGCGGCGCGTCGCCGTAGTCGGATGGCGGATGGCGGTTCATGATAGAACGTGGAATGTGATGTTTTTTTGTTTCAACTCACTGCCTCATAGTATTCCACCTGAGGTGGGTATCGATGAGACAACGATGAGAATTAATCCCCGTCTCTCGAAGATACGACAGAGTGGGGGTAGATCTGTTTGATTCGACAGATGAGGCTCGAGGAATGGAGGAATGTGAGTATAATATCAATATGAAAGCTCCACATGCAAGCAAGATGAAGAGGATAAAAGAGGATAAAAGAGTAAAATGGATCGACTGGGGAAACAAGTCCAGCCCGTTCATATCCGTCGCTCTGCATCAACAAGGTGGAGGTCTAGGTGGTTGTCAGGGCAACGCTGAATTTGGCGACCGAATCAGCACGGGAAACACTTGGAAAACAATACTCCA